GTCCGATCACGTTCTGTCCACGTTCAGGACACGATGCTGACCTTCATCCAGCTGATCACTTGGCTCCTTCTCACCAACTCAAACAGCGCCGAGAAGCTTTTCCATAACCGGGATCATTCGGACGTGCGGGCGCCACTGTCGCACCAAGCTCCTGTCGTCGTGGATGAATTTAAAGCGGAGGTAAATTCTGAACGCCGAAACGCATTAAGATTATGATTTTACCCACGTGTGTGTCTGTTAGCAAAATATCTCATGAGCTACTAGAAGAATTTTAATGAAACGTGCAGAAGATGTGCATCTGTAACGGTTTACCTTTTTTAGAGGCAGTTCAATTTAAGATGGCCACCACAGCCACTTAATCCTTAACATTAAAACAGAATTTTTAATCAATAATTTAGTTTTATTGGGAAAGTTTGTTGTTCATAAATGCAGATTTTTTAAAGTTAACCCAAATTTAAGTCATTGGAAAAATTTCCTAATTTGTTTTCGTGAGTCTTTAAATTTAGTTAAAAGTAAATCTGCCCAACAACTTTGTAGTTTGATTAACAACTTTGATTTGGCTTAAACCTGTGTTTGTTTCATTTTCATTCTTTGTTTATTTTGTTTTGTTGTTTGTTTGTTTGTATTTTTTTACTTTGAGTGTATGCAATTCAACCTGTGAAAACTGATGTTTTGTGCTGATGTTGTTGCCTTGTTTTGTTTGTAAACTGATGTTTCAAATAAAGGTTAAAAAAAAATGTAAAAAAAAAAACTTTATTGGAACGGAAATGTAACGCAAAGTGTTTTTGCTGTCGTTTACTGAGTTATTTAAAAATAAAATTAACATGAAAAAAAAAAAATCCTTAACATTAAAAAAAAAAAAGCCATAATTCAATCAGTTTTACAGATATTTAGCTAAAATTTAACAACTCATGTCCTGAGCTCAAATACATTGCTCAAGGTACTTGTTTAAAATTTTACCGTTCGTAAAATATCGTGAATAGGCCTGTCGCGATAAACGATAAATCAATTAATCGCATGGTGAATGAAAATTATCAACCTCATTTTCATTCACTGGTTTTATTGTTTCTTTGTGTTTCTCTCTTTCTAC